GATTTCAAAATCAAACTGTTTACACCATAAATTGTAAAATTTTAAGATAAAGCCACATGTAAAATATTTTTTAGTGGATGGAGAAGATTAGACCAGGATAGATTCATAATTATGGGTCCTATGATAGATCAGCTGTCATTTTGGCAAAAAATGGAAGATAAACTTGAGGTTTTACTGTATAATTATCTTGTGGAGGTAAATAGGGACTGTTTAAGCTAAAATGTAGGAGAGGATTGCAGTTAAAGAGGGGTTTTATTCGATAAAGAAACAGATAACGAAAATCTGCAAGGAGATAAGACCAAGTTAATTGGTGAGCTATCCCATTACCTCAAGAAACCACCCATGATTGAGTAACTACAGAAAGTGGAAGTTACTACCGGTACCAGAAGAATAAAAATGAAATTTTGCAAGGGAGAACACACGGCCAGTCCTACTCAAATATCTACAAATTTTCAGACTTTATTTTCTCTGCAATTTGCCTCCAGATTTCGAATTTCAGCACAGATTCCAGTAGAATTAGGTTGTTTTTCATCATTCAAGTAAACAAATTAATTCATGTATTCAGTTCAACAATTTCCTTTCATGCAATGAACTTCAATTTTTCAAGTTTATGCAAGGTATTGTTCTCTTTCCATTTGCAATTAATTTAATGTTTATAATAAGTAGCATTTCATTCAATGATTACTTATGTGGTGTTCATACCTCTTTTCAACCTCAAGCATGGTAGTTTAATTATTGTTCACCTTAATTTTTATGTTAATTAGGATGAAATCTTTAATTCTGCAGCATTTTAATTTTCAGATCTGCCAGTACATAGCATTTTAATTTAACAATGAACATGTTTAGTTTAATTTGGGTATAGCTTTTTTTCACAAATTTACTTTAAATTACAGGTTATTTAGTTCAATTAGGATTTGTTAATTTTAAGTCACGGTAGTGTTTAAGTCCTTGGATTTGTCCAAGGCAGATTTCGTAACCCATTCTACAGGAAGGTATCCCTCCCTCTTGCAAATCGTCTGAAGGCACAAATTTCATTTTAATCCAACATTCTTCCCGCCATTTGCAAAGAGGTCGATCGTGAGGAAGGAGAGGGTCATTGGGAAAGTCCTCATTTCTTACTTTCAGCAAAATAAGTGGCACACCTGCATCTAGATTTCACACGTGCAAGGCCACAAGAGGATTTTTGGGGAAACAGAAACCTAGGCATATTAGTTTTGCACATGTTATTAGATGAGTATAACATATTATTAAGGACAGTAATTGGTACACCCTCCGGTTTAGTCATTAAAAAATCATTATTTTTTAGTTTGAAATTAAAAACAGATAAATTTAATGATACAATCATGTGCACATGATACAGGAACTGGCTGAATTGATTGTATTTATATTATATTTTTAATGACTAAACTGGAGGGTGTTGTTAAGAGTGTTGAACCGGAGGATGTATCAATCATTTCCCTATCACTAAATAAGTGGATACATAAATATCACATGTGAACCTTTGAGTGAAAAGAGTTAATTATATAACTATATATCATAATGTAAAGTTATAATAATACATGACATTATAATTATATCATTTTTGATATGCAAATCTATTTAAAGATCAACTTGCTAGCTATTAGAGATATTTTTACAAAGATATATCAGAATGTAAAGTTATAATAATACATAGCATTATAATTATATCATTTTTGATATGCAAATCTATTTAAAGATTAGCTTGCTAACTATTAGAGATATTT